CTATGGATGCGTGCACCCCGCATGCAGACACCGTGGGACAGGAAGTGCCAGCAAGCCCAGAGGAGTCAGCGATGGATCGGACACCCGCCGCAGCGCTGGAAGGACAGATGAAAACATCAGGAAAGATCGGATTAAAAGACATCAATTAACCCCTTTGTGACGGGAGACGTACACTGTACGTCCCGTCACGAAGTGCCTATATGACTGGCCACGTACACTGTACGTGACAAGTTATATCAGGCTTTGTAATGCCGGTAACCTCTGATTCTCAGCAATTACCAGTCATTAATGAATGAAATAGGGAAGCTTTTGTAAAAGCTTTTTTCTTTCACTAATGAAAGAATGAAGCCGTTACATACAAAACCGGGAGTGCTAAATAGTGATCCTGTATTTGACAGCTGAAAATAGCAGAGAGGTAGCAGAGTGAGTCACCTCTCTGCTATTCGTTTTGACAGCTCGATAGCCCGATGTTTATGATACATTTCACCAAAGAGATGCATTGTATCTCTTTGATTGAAATGTATCAGACTTCTGATCGTCTGGGCCGGTCAAAGACCTTTTAGTGAGATCTGAATCTGACATGCTGTCAGGATCAGTCTCTAAGGTTATTATTAGCTGTTCCTAAGTTTGGAGCAGCCTAATAATAGCCAACATTTTTTTTTTTAAGTTATTTTTTCAAGCAGTCATAGTGACTTGATATAAACTGACAAAAAAAAAAAGTTTTTTTTTTTTTTTTACAAAGTAAAAAAAAATTAAAGTGTAAAACAAAATTAGGGAAAAAAATGATATATAAATATATTTTTTAATACTATAATTATTATAACAAATTTTAAAAAAATTATAATTATCAAAACATGTGAAAAAAAGTGTTTTCTTCTAGTTTTATTTCTCCATTTTTTTTTTTATATTTAAACTAAGTGAGGCGTTAAGTACACATGTTTGATATAATTATATAGCCCTATCTGTCCTCTAAAAAACAATATATAATATGTGTGAGTACATTTAGTAAGAAAGTATATTACTGCTGTGAAAGAATCACACAGCAAAAATGTAAAAAGTGTGTCAGTCATTTATCAACAGAAACTGAAAATTAAGCTCAGTCATGAAGGGGTTAAGGTAAGTGCTTTAATTTAACGTTGGGAAATGAAATGCCTTTAATGAAAGGTTGGTGCTTGAAGTGATAACACGGATGGCGCTGTGTCGGATACAGTCCATAATAGAAGTCACCAGCACTCGATGATATGTGCAAGAAGTAAAGCACTTCTTATTAAATTGTCATATGCGTCATACAGGCTGCTTTTTTCTTCTAATTGTAACGAGGTCCGTACAATTTTTTGTGAATGGTAAGGAGGAGAGGGAGACTGAGATGTGGCCATAGTGCTGGGGTATGACACCTGTAGCAAGCAGCCAGGAAGTGCAGAGGGAGAGGGACTTCCTCTGCCACCTAAACTACATAATTTGCAGGACATAGAAGTATGCCTGTAAAGTTGGGCTTTACATTTCAAAAATGACGGAAACCAAAATAAAGGTATCCATAGCATGGAGCTTCTTTATAACTTGCTATGATATTAAAATGGGGATCAGCACACCATAACGTTCACAACATTGAAGGATGAATCCAACAAGCATGCAGCAAGTGACAGCAGAACACCTAGCATGCATACTTAATGCAGGCCAGTGACTCCCAAAGCACTGAAATCCTAGGGTCAATATGAGAGCTAGGCAAGTAACATTTGAAGGTCAGCTTTGGCAACCCTCTTGTTTCTGCTATCGCAGGTTTCCTTTAAAAGGTCATCTTTATTTATCCAGAGGGTAAAATAAAAAAAAAAATCAGTGTTGTTGACGAATTTTAGGCTTTATCAGTTCTTAATACATTTGACCTTTAAACATGATGGTTATTCTGTTGTGATATTTTAGTTTGCAATGTTTACACTCGTCTGAAAGACATGCATCTTATTTTTTGGATACAGCCATATGCAGCATATTGTTGTTGGACAGGTGAGCTGTCATTCTTTTCAGTGCCCTTGACTGTCTTGTGTCCTGGAATCACTTTTTAAGCCGATTTTACAGAATCTCTCTACAATGTTCTTTTTGGCCTTGTGGCCTTTGTTCTGCGCAATACTTGGCTAAAACTAGAAAGATAATTCACTATTATGTAAGTTCTGAAATTTGGGTATTAATTTATTTTAACCTGTTGCCGTCCGCCCGTTGCAAAAAAAACGGACGGACGGCGGACCCGCATTTGCGGGTTGCCGTCTCCAGATGGCATTTTTTTTCGGCGCGCACGGGCAGAAAAAGCCCGTTCAACGCAAAGAGCCGTTACCGACTGTTTCACATGCACACGATCGGCGGCTCTATAGCCAGCATGCGAAAATGACATTTGCGTTACACATGTTACATATCGTCGCGAATGTCGGAGTGAGAGCAATAATTTTAGGGCCATCAATCACTGATGAGCGGTAAAAGCTTTTAAAGCGTCGCCTATGGCCAATTTTGGCTATTGTAGTTTTTTGAGGTTTCGCGCGCACAATTTTAAGGCTTGACATGTTTGGTGTCTTTTTTTATATTTTGTTCAAATTTTATTGTTTTGAGAAAAATAAGAGGTTTTAGCAAACATAAACATCATATACAATGATATCAGAGCTGTACATACAGCCCAAAAAACTGGTGTCTTTTTATATTTTACCAAAAAATTGGGTAATAAATGTTTTATCATTTTAATGTAGGGCAAACAGTTTTTAAATAAAAATAAAAACCGCAGTGGTGATTACCCCCAAAAGAAAGCTCTATCTGTCCCAAAAAATGGTATAAAATGTATTTCAGTACAGCATTGCATGACGGAATAAACGTCAATCAAAGTATCGCAGCGCTGAATACTGAAAAATGGCCTGGATGGGAAGGGGGTTTAACACCGAGGACATGAAGTGGTTAATTTTATTTTATCCATAGATAGGGCAAATCCGTGCTTTCAACACTAAAACTCAGACAGCAGCAGCTGATCTGCTTACTTATAAGCTTTTCGAGGATAAACAACGCTGTCTCTTAGCTGCGCCACACAATCCTCCCTCCCACCTCCTACAGGGAGTACACTCACTAGAAAAAAGTGACTAGATTAAGTAAAGTCAGTATGGATTCATGAAGTGGTCCTTCAATGTCCTGAAAGTACGGCACATCTGTTCTGCCTCTCACTGCCGGTCAATCAGCAAACCACATTCATAGCAGCAGTAAAGTTTTCAGGAGCTGCCCTTCATCATGGAAAAACATTTGCACCCAACCTATCGGAAAAGGACGAAAGATCTTTGTGTAGTAATTTATTAAAATGCACAGTAAAAAAAGAAAGTATCAATCACCATTAAAATCGAAACAATCCACTAGCACCATACACTGATGCGTTTCATCAGAGCGGTCTTGTTGCTGTTCGATAAGTTCCTTAAATGAAGATGATCACTTAGTGATTTAAATAGCACAGCCACCAATATGACAATATAAAGCCATATGAAATCAGTAAGTGTTCATTGAACTAATCTATATTTAAGGAACTTGTGTAACACCAGTATGGCCTCTCTGACTAAGTCTTCTTGACAATGTTGTTTTTTTTAATGGCGCATGATACTTGTTTTGTTGTACATGTTAATTCCTGTAGGAAGACCTCGCTCTTCTTTCTTCCTTCCTTTCCCTTGCTAGGTTCACTGTTATGCTGGGAGCAAATGTTTTCATTTGATGAAGGGTGACTCTTGAGCACTTCACTGCTGCTTTTAATAAGGTTTGCTTACTAGCCAGCGGTGTGGGGAGGTGGAGGATGTGTTGTACTTTTTGGTTATTAAAGGACTACCCCATAAGTGTGTACTGACCTTACTTTATAGTTTGAAATTTTCCTGGTAAGTGTACTCCCTGTGTGAAGTGAGAGGGAGGCTTGTGTGGCACAGTTAAGTGATTGCATTGTTTATCATTTTGCCATGACCTCATTAGCCATCAATTCACGTCAGAGCGACCGATTCTGGATTCATTCCAGACGTCATACTCTCCAACTTTCTTGGGAAAAAAGTGAGCCAATGGTTACATAACATGGAACGCTCTGATCCTCATCGTTGTTTGTAGGAAAATCTGTTAAGAGAAGTTCCTTTAAAGTGTATTTCCACGTTTGCAACCAAATTGGGATAACACCTACGTGTTTTGTTTTTCTCATAAACTTAAAAAAAAATTAAATTGCTGCATAAAACGTGTTCAGTTCTCAAGTGTTTTTCTCTATGCTGAATTTACCTTTTGAAATGAAAATAGGGTGGAGGTAATTTTTATGAAAATGAACCCTGTCTGTACTGTGCTGCCTGATCTCATTAGCAGTTGTAAGCTAGATTTAAACATTGCCAGTCCTAACAAAGATCTAGAAGCATTGTTTCTTTTATGGTATATTAATGAGTGGGAACTCAGTCTGTCCTTGAACTGGGTAGACATGGAGCGAATTTTGGCCAATTTAGCAGGAATCGGCCAAAATTCGATCTGTGGGTGGTCCCATCCCCTCGACAGAAGTTGATCATTAGATCGACATTTGCCGGAGGTACATCCTGGAAAATTATCAGTCAAACAGTGCTTGCAGCCAATCAGCGCTGCTGTCAGAATACAATGCACACAGTGGGAGATTCGTTCATCCACCCTGTCATGGAACAATCTGTCCTATTTGTTCAGCCTGTGAGGCTGATTTACCCAGCTTTAGTCTTTCTATTAGGACAGTCAGAGTTTCCTAAAATTGAGAAAGAAGCTTGCAAATGCCTGCTAAATAGAGATATCTAAAAGGTAAGGAAGTTGTTTTTTTTTTTTTATTATTTATTTTTCGATCTGATGTGCGGCAAAAAGCTTTTTGTTTTTACTATTGTGCATTCTTCAAAAATTCCCTCCGTGTGTGTCCAAGCTCCATTTTCTTCACTTCCAGCAGTAATTGCTTGTTGATCCAGGCAGTATTTCTGTGTTTACTTCATTTTCTGCAAAGGTCTGACAGAAATGCGATGCCAAGCAGCAGTATTGCCTCATCTAAGGAGTACATGCTGGTCCTTCCTCCAAAGTACAAGCTTTGTCTCTTTTGGATAAGTGCTAACCGCTGCAGGTGCATACACAAATTCTGTTTCTTCCCTGTGGGAGTGAGTTGTGAAGTATTTCTTCCTGCCAGGGCTGTTGGGTACTGTAGTCCAAAATAGGAGGACCGCTAGAGATGCATACCCACAGCCCCCAATGCATGAACAACAGTCAAAGCAGTCACATGACCCCCACGAAAATAATTGAAGACATTATCTACCTGGGGAATTTTGGGGAAATGCATATATAGCAGCATAGCCCAACCCATACACTACACTGCCTTATATGCATTGTGTTAATGTACTTTATTGACACCTTTTAGTCAAAAAGGTTAGAGTCTTCTGTTTTTTGTAATGTATGTGATCAAATATTAGAATTCTAGTAGAAATGTGCTATCATTTTCTGTTTTTCTATTATCTTATGTTTTAATGAATATTAATAATGACCCTAGTGTATGAAATGAATCTCGTTTCTTCTTGACAGCTGCCTTCCGATCGTCCATCAGATGATTTGGTTGGAGACCAATCTGCTACAAGTGAATCTAGCTCTCCGCCAAAGAGGAAGTCGGATGTTTTGGATCCTCCAGCTAAGAAAGTGGTATGTAATCTTTTACTTTTTTTTTTTTAAACTGCTTAGCGTTTTCACCTATTGCAAAAATGTCTCATACTTTAGTGTCAAAAAGAAGTTACCATGTGTATAAAATGGTCCTAGTTCACTTCCGTGAGTAGGCTAAAGTTGTTGTTTTTTTTAACACTTCTTTTTATTTTCCTAATTTAAAAAAAAAAAAAATCAAAATATATTTTTTTATACTATATAATACAAAAATTTCTAAAACAATTAATAATAATCAAAACTTGTGGTTTTATTTAAGTTTTTGTCCTCATTTTTGAAAAATATTTTATTCGAACTAAGTGAGACGTTAGGTTTGATATAATTATATAGCCCTCTCTCCCCCCCTAAAAAAACAATATATAATATGTGTGGGTACATTTAGTAAGAAAGTATATTACAGCCATGGAAGAATCACACAGCAAAAATGTAAAACGTGTGTCAGTCATTTATGAACAGAAACTGAAAACTAGCCCAGTCATGAAGGGGTTAATAAAGACGATTAAAAATGACCCTAGTGTATGAAATAAATCTTGTTTCCTCTTGACAGCTGGCTACCGATCAACCATCAGATGATTTGGTTGTGGACCAGTCTGCTACAAGTGAATCTAACTCTCCGCTGAAGAGGAAGTCGGATGTTTTGGATCCTCCAGCTAAGAAAGTGGTATGTAATCTTTTACTTTTTCCAAACCACTTGGCGTTTTCACCTATTGCAAAAATGTCTCATACTTTAGTGTCAAAAAGAAGTTACCATGTGTATAAAATGGTCCTAGTTCACTTCCGGGCAGTAGGCTAAAGTAGTTTTTTTTTACACTTATTTTTATTTTCTTAATTAAAAAAAAAAAAATCTAAATAAGTTTTTTTTATACTATAATTGTAATACAAAAATTTATAAAACAATTCATAATAATCAAAACTTGTGAAAAAAAAAGTGTTTTATTTAAGTTTTTTTCCTCATTTTCTTTTTTACATTTTATTCGAACTAAGTGAGGCGTTAGGTACACGTTTGATATAATTATATAGCCCTATCTCTCCCCTCTAAAAAACAATTTATAATATGTGTGTGTACATTTAGTAAGAAAGTATATTACTGCTGTGGAAGAATTACACAGCAAAAATGTAAAAAGTGTGTCAGTCATTTATGAACAGAAACTGAAAACTAGCCCAGTCATGAAGGGGTTAATAAAGACAATTAAAAATGACGCTAGTGTATGAAATGAATCTTGTTTCCTCTTGACAGCTGGCTACCGACCAACCATCAGATGATTTGGTTGGAGATCAGTCTGCTACAAGTGTATCTAGCTCTCCGCTGAAGAGGAAGTCGGATGTTTTGGATCCTCCAGCTAAGAAAGTTGTATGTAATCTTTTACTTTTTCCAAACCACTTAGCGTTTTCACCTATTGCAAAAATGTCTGATACTTTAGCTTTAAACAGAAGTTACCGTGTGTATAAAATGGTCCTAGTTTTACTTTCCCATAACGTCTTCCAGGACAGCATCACGAGATGGAATAGAATTTGCTCATCTCCAGAGCACTGGCCCTAAACTCCTGTTCAATCCATGCACTGCCTTATATGCATTGTGTTAATGTACTTTATTGACACCTCAATTTTAGTCAAAGGTTATAGTTTTCTTTATTTTTTTGCATTTTGTAATGTATGTGATCAAATATTGAATTTTATAGTAAAAATAACTAAAATTGTACTATAATTTTCTGCTTTTCCAGTATCTTATGTTTTTAATGATTATTAAGACAATTAAAAATGACCCTAGTGTATGAATTGTATCTCGTATTCTCTTGGCAGCTGCCTTCGGATCATCCATCAGATGATTTGGTTGGAGACCAGTCTGCTACAAGTGTATCTCGCTCTGCACTGAAGAGGAAGTCGGATGTTTTGGATCCTCCAGCTAAGAAAGTGGTATGTAATCTTTTTACTTTTTTCAAACCACTTGGGGTTTTCAGCTATTGCAAAAATGTCTCATACTTTAGTGTCAAAAGAAGTTACCATGTGTATAAAATGGTCCTAGTTCACTTCCGTGAGTAGGCTAAAGTGAAGGGATTATCACTGGCAATAAGTTTCACGGCAAGCCATTTTCCTCATGGCCAATTACAATACCCTGTCTTATGTGTATGAAACATCTTTGAACTTTTAGTGAAAAGTGGAGGTTATCCCTAAAGTGATTATTAAATTCAAAAGGTTTTTTTTAAATGCTCATTAAATCACTTACAATAAATGCTAAGATCAGCAAAGATAATACAAATAAAACCACAGGATATTAATTCCAATATTTATGAAACAAAACTATATCTCCTGAAATGCAACTAGTAACCTCTCAGCAGGAATGCGACAAAATAATAATGTGCAGATTCAACACGTGACTTCTCCCAGCAATACAGATATTCAAAGTTCTACTGCGCATGAACTAACTCATGATACTATGCACAGGACTAGCTAATCGGCCAAGAATCTATCTGAGGTAAAGACAAACGTCCTCTAAGTTATTTTATTGTTATGCATATATCACAGCTACACCATCGACTAGAAACTGAAATCAGCTTCAAGGAGATTCCATAAATATTTCTCCCAAGATTGAAAGGGAGACAATTTTTACTGCAGCTAAAATGACTGCAATTCAATCCTGATGGTAACAATGACCGACTAGTTAGACTATGTGTGGTATATATGTATGTATAGATCTTCTCGTAAATTGCTTACAGATCAATGGAGATCTATATTTTTCCAAAATTGGAAATTGTTTGGTCTCAGATGTCGGCTTTGTATCAGTGTAGGGACAGGAGATGTTCAGGTTCTCTTTGTTCAGTTCTCCAGGGAGCCCGTCAATTAGCTTCAGATCTCTCCTTAGTGTGCCTGTCCTCAGGTATCAGTTCCCACCTAAACTTTGCCCTAACTTTTATCACCCAAAATGTAATAGGAGAAAGCTTATCTTAACTTAATTATGACTTCCGACACTTCTCAGTTTACTCCAAATTATCCCCGCAATACCTGAAGAGGGCAATATTGGACTAGGCATAATTTTTGGATTTTTCCTTAAAATTCCTATACCATATCATGAGATGACCTATGACCTTTTGGCTGGTTTAATACCCATAAAATTTAAAGGGTGGCCTGTTACTTGACAGAACTTGTTAGACCTACTGAAGACTAGTGTGTCTTTAAGATATGTATTGATTGAGAATGTTTGAGCAAGGAAAAAAATGATCTAACATACATTGAGAATGAGGTCATCTGCACTTGGAGGTTACTTACATTCTTTCATTGATTACAGAAATAATATACCTAATGTGATTATTTGTACTTTCAAAAATACCATATTAATAATATATATAAATATATGTCAATAAGTACAACCAAATAACCTATATAAGGTATATAGGTTGAATATTGTATAAAAAAAAAAAGAAAATTACTCAATTAAGCAATTGGTTATACCATTCCTATCAAATAATACTGTATACAAGGTGAGCTCTTTTTCATATGTTGTAAAGATGAGAAAGGAGGAAAAAAAAATATGTTGATTGTTTCTTTTGTCCTTTTTTGTTAAGAATCATCCCCACAATCTAACAGTCTGGTACAATGGTCAGTCCTTATCTTTTTATTGTTTGGTACCCCCACAATTTACAACCTGGGAATGTATGCTGAAAGGGTCTGTAAATTGTTGTTGTTAGAGTCTTTGTCCAGAAACCATGAACTCAAATTTCCCATAACGTCTTCCAGGACAGCATCACGAGATGGAATCTCCAATTGAGTCGGCCGGTGTCACTAAGGGTGGTGACTTTGGTCATGGGTCTCATGACCGCTTGCCTGCCGGTGGTAAAGTGGGCTCGGTTCCACCAGAGACCTCTGCAACAGTTCTTCCTGAGGAACTGGAATCGCTCGCAAGAGAGGTGTTTTTGGTGGCTATTACTTCTGCTTGTAGGGTGAGTGAGCTCCAAGCCCTATCCATTAAGGAACCGTTCCTGTCTATTTTTGAGGCTCGGGTTGTCCTTCGAACAGACCCGGCTTTTCTGCCTAAGGTCGCTTCGAGGTGCAACAGGGTGCAGGAGATCATTCTACCTACATTCTGTCCCAAACCAGTAGGTAGCAGGGAATCAGGTTTTCACTGTTTAGATGTGAGACGTTGTTTGCTCCAGTACTTGAAAATTTCCAAGGACTTTCGGAGATCTGAATCACTGTTTGTGCTGTTCTCTGGTGGGTCCAAGGGGAAACAAGCTTCTAGATCCTCCTTAGCTAGGTGGTTGAGGCAGGCCATTATGGAAGCTTATGGAGTGTTACATGTTCCTCCCCCGTCTTTGGTGACGGCACATTCAACTAGAGCTTTAGCAACGTCCTGGGCCGAACGAGCTGGTGCTACACCGGAACAGATTTGTAAGGCGGCAACATGGTCAAGTTTCTCCACCTTCGCAAAGCATTATCGCCTAGATCTCAATACCGCAGGGGATCAGGCATTTGGCAGGAAGGTACTACAAGCAGTGGTCCCGCCCTAATTGGTAAGTTCTTGGTTATCCTCTCGTGATGCTGTCCTGGAAGACGTTATGGGAAATTCAGAGTTAGGACTTACCGGTAACTCTATTTCCATTAGTCTTCCAGGACAGCAACTGCCCGCCCATTGATGCTTGTAGTATTAATGTGATGTGGTGGTATTGCCTGTATGTGCCTTGTCTTTTTCCAGCTTGCCTTCGGTTCTCGTGATGACTGAGGGAGTGGAGGAGAGGAGGGTCTTTTAAACAGATTAAGTGACGTGTTTCCTGTGTGTGGGGGAGGAGATTCCATCTCGTGATGCTGTCCTGGAAGACTAATGGAAATAGTTACCGGTAAGTCCTAACTCTGGATTTCACCTTGTTCAAGAAACTTTTGGACGATTTCTTAAGGGACTGTAATATACAGGGGTACGGGTACTCCTAGAATGAGATCCTAATAGGTTGGACTTGATGGACTAATGTCTTTATTCAACCTCAAATACTATGTAACTATGTAACCTTATACACTGATATAATATAAAGAACAAAAATGGCTACCAGTATGCCCATATTACATTATGTAAAGATGATCGGTTTAGGCCTTACAGTTTCTTTCTTTTAGCACTCAATAGTTTCAACACTACTCCTTGATGTTTAAAAGTTTTAGTTTCCTGTAGAATTTGCTTATCTCCTGAGCATTGGCCCTAAAACCCTGTTTTAGAGAGGCTCCTTTCCATTGAAGCATCCTATGGAGCCACCCTTGTTTGTCTTTTGCCTTCACACACAACAAGATAAGTCACTCCCCTCACCTTGCTCTCTCTTCTTCCTTTCTCCTTCCTTCTCTTCATGTGATCAGAAAATTGTTCTATCATTTTCTGCTTTTCCAGTATCTTACATTTTTAATGAATATTAATAGACAATTAAAATGACCCTAGTCTATGAATTGAATATTGTTTCCTCTTGACAGCTGCCTTCTGATCATCCATCAGATGATTTGGTTGGAGACCCATCTGCTACAAGTGTATCTAGCTCTCCGCTGAAGAGGAAGTCGGATGTTTTGGATCCTCCAGCTAAGAAAGTGGTATGTAATCTTTTACTTTTTTCCAAACCACTTAGCGTTTTCACCTATTGCAAAAATATCTCATACTTTAGTGTCAAAAAGAAGTTACCATGTGTATAAAATGCTCCTAGTTTGTTTCCTGCAGAACTTGCTTATCTCCTGAGCACTGGCCCTAAAATTCTGTTTTAGGGAGGCTCCTTTCCATTGAAGCATGCTATGGAGCCACCCTTGTGTTTTGTCTTTTGTCTACACACACAACAAGGCAAAAGTAACTCCCCTTTTCCTTCTTCCTTTCTCCTTCCTTCACTCCAGGTGTTCAGGAAACTGTGCTATAATTTTCTGTTTTTCCAGTATCTTTTGTTTTTAATGAATATTAAAAAAGACAATTAAAAATGACCCTAGTGTATGAAATCTTGTTTCCTCTTGACAGCTGCCTTCTGATCAACCATCAGATGATTTGGTTGGAGACCAGTCTGCTCCAAGTGTATCTAAATCTCCCCTGAAGAGGAAGTCGGATGTTTTGGATCCTCCAGCTAAGAAAGTGGTATGTAATCTTTTACTCTTTTTCAAACCAGATAGCGTTCTCAGCTGTTGCAAAAATGTCGTCTCATACATTAGTGTCAAAAAGAAGTTACCGTGTGTGTATAAAATGGTCCTAGTTCACTTCCAGGAGTAGGTTAAAGTGAATGGATTCTCACTACCAATAAGTTTCCAAGCGAAGCCATTTTCCCTATTGCTAATTACAATACCCTGTCTTATGCGTATGAAACATTTTAGAACTTCTAGTGAAATGTGGAGGTTATCCCTAAAGTGATATTAAGTTCAAAAGGTTCTTTAAATGCTGATGAAATAATTTACAATGAGTGCTGCTCCTTCATATTTAAAAGTTCTAGTTTCCTGCAGAATTTTCTTGTCTCCTGAGCACTGGCCCTAAAATCCTGTTTTAGGGATGCTCCTTTCCATTGAAACATCCTATGGAGTTACCCTTATGTTTGTCTTTTTGTCTACACACACAGAAAGGCAAGCCCCTCCCCTTGCTCCCTCCTCTTCTTCCCGTCTCCTTCCTTCTCTTCCCCATGATAGTAGCTGGATGGCTGCTGGAGATTGCGCTGTCCCATGTGATCTTGTACTGAACAGGAAGTTCATGGAAACTGAGCTGAAAGAGTTGTAGTCAAGTTGTTTAGAAACATGATGACTGTAACTGCTTGGTCAAACATGTAAGCCGATGTGTATTTGTCTGATCTGGATTTATTATTGAGCTTTCTTTTCCAACAACTCTGAGCAATTTTAAAAAATCTTTCAGAGCTTGCTCCGATGACATTTTTTACCTTAGTATCACTGATTTATCAAGCAAATTAATGAGACAATTAGGCTGCCTCTCATTTACCAAAGCCGATATGACTGTTATTCTGTGTACTTGCAATCCTCTGCTTGTTATCGTAACACATGGGTCTATGGGAAATACTGACCATTATATGGAAGTGTTTGCTTTATAGCTGGGACCTTGGGTAATGCCCATTACAGAATGTTTGAGTGGCTGAGAATTTGCATTTCATCAGTAGCAAGACTTGCAAGTCAATATTGGACTAGTGTAACTGATTGCTGTGGATATAAAAGGCAGTAAAATAACTTTCTGGTGTTCTCTGTGATCCTTCACGTATATATACTTTTATAGTGCCCTGCTTTAGTTGGTCAGAGTGCAGTTTAAGAAGACTGCTTAAGAACTTTTGCTTCGAGCATATTTCAACCCCTGTAAACTTCATAACCTATATAATGCAGTGTCACCTAATTCTGTTAAGAGCAGTCATTCTTAACCTGAACAATGCCTGCATCCGATCAGATTGTTCTGGTATTTTTGAAAGCCAGTGGGACCGACTATGAAGATACTGAAGCTTGGCCCAGTTTAGCGTAGATGGGGGAATCTGTTGCACTTTTTCCATCTGACCATAAAAAATCTGCAGATAATCTATAGGTGTATGGCCAGCTATAGGCAGTCTCCCTTATTCAGTTTGGATTCCCTGTGGTTGTCTGATTTTTCTCATGGCCATTTTATTTTGGACCCTACACTGTTATTTGTGGACATTAAAGGAGAACTATGAGGTAAGTGACAAGGGAGGGACTGGATTCCCCCTTCCCGCTCCGATCCTCCAGCGCTGACTGGCGGAACGGACGGGGGAGGGGGCGGGTACAGCTGGCTCTGCCTCTAGGTAGGCAGAGCCAGCTGTCACTCACGCAGCTGAGCGGATCCAGACATAATTGTCGGGATCCGTTTCAGCATCTCGGTATACCGCGAGCTGTAGCTCGCGGTATACTGAGTTTAGGGTGACTGGAGGATGCTAGTTTGTGTCCTCCCGTTACCCTTAGTAGAACTATGGGGAAAAGCCCTGACCCCATAGTTCTCTAAGCCTATTTAATAAACTGGGGTGTGCAGAGATCAGTTTAAACATGAGTCAGGAAAACTATTTTTTTTCTTTTTTTTTTTCCGGTTAGGGCTTTTAAATAATAAACTTGAAGTAGCAGTAATCTCTAAAACCTTTGTTCGGTAATACATTGCCCAGCAAAGTGTTTTTTTACATGTTTGCCCAAGCACTTAGTCGTCATTTTCAGAACATCTGGCTCCAACTCTCTACGGTTGGCTTCCATCAACTGCCTGTTGAGTACAGGATTACAGGGGACAGCCTTGTTTCCAGCCGATGTCCATCTACTAGGTTAGAGGAGGTCAGTGCAGTGTACTAGCACACACAAGGGTGGCTCCATAGGACCCTGCAAGGGAAAGAAGCCACCCTAAAACAGGAAGTCAGGACAAGTGCTCAGAGGACTAGCTGATTCTGCAGGAAACTAAAAACGTCAAGATGCAGCATCCATTGTAAAATACTTAATCAGCATCTGAAATAGCTTAAAAACCGTTTGACTTTTTAATATCACTTCAGCCTTTTATTTACTAGATTTAATATGACAAATTTGGTAAAATCCAACAGCCTGGGTCACTTCCTGAAGACCTAGAAACCCTTGGCTAACGTACTGTGAACATTTTTTATGTCTTACCTTTTTATTCCAGGTAAATTACTTCCAGATTTAGCTTCTGCATAATTCACTTTCAGATACACCTTATCACACATGCATTCTTTCATATTTTAGGTGTTACTTTTATGCCGCTATTATTTTACTGCCTCCATTCTACAATTTAGAAAGTTTTGACGTGTTCTAAGCAATTTGCTTATTATGCTAGAAATGTTGTTTTTTAATATAAATCGTAGTTGCCCCAAGTCATCTCCAATGTGGGCGCCAGCATTTATCAATGTTTTTTGACTTCTTTCATATCGGATCTGTTGGTCACTAATCTTTTAATCCAGAAACCGGTGAGGATCATGTTACATTCTCAATCTGACTCAAAATATTTTCATTGTTCTAGTTCTCAAGCATAAGTGATAGCTGTGTGAATGCTGTCCATAATGTTATATATTTAACTATGTCTCACTATTTACTTTCAGTACCCACCACACACTTACCTGCACTTTGCTAACTCATTCTCGTTTTTACTCACTTTTCACAAGTAAATACAGCATTGATGAAGAGCAACAGTGCAATCTTCTTGCAAAAGACGCTTCAAGTAGTGCTTGAGGTTCATTTAGTACCAGCCAAACGCACATTTGTTTCTGGTATGGTTTAGGGTTTCCATTGACACTTGCTGCCATCCAGCTAGGATTTATGAAAGCTCTGCCTACAGTATATGCAACAAGTAGGTTGAGATTAAAATAAATATTATGTTTTAGATATTAGTCTCTCACTTTGGTTTAAGGGCACATTTTGCGTTTCACAGTGACATACATGCATTTATATGTATTTGTAGGACATTTCTAAACACATGTAATGCTTTTAAATGGTATTATGCACATCGTGTTTACCTGTATTTAGTTGCATTCGGTTTTTGCTGAGTTTAGAGAAAATAGCGTTCCGTAAGTCCAGGGGCCGATTCGGTAAGCTGAAAGTGTCAAAATGTACGTACATGCAAAAGTATTCCTCCCCTTGGCATTTTTCCTAGTTTGTTGCATTACCACCTGGAATAAAAATGAATTTGTATTTTGTATGACATGTAATGGACATACACCAAATAGTCCAAAATAGTGACGTAAAAATTAAGAAAATGACTTGTTTTACCAAGTTATAAAAAATATAAAACAGGAAAGTAGTGCGTGCATATGTATTCACCCCCTTTGCTATGAAGCCCCTATATAAGATCTGGTGCACCAATTACCTTCAGAAGTCACATTGTTAAAGACCACCTGTGCGCACTCTTAAGTGTCGCATGATCTGTGTCGGTCTGTATATAAATATAGATATAGATAGATATCTATATCTCTAGTCTGCAACACCACTGAGCAAGGGGCACCACCAAGCTAGAACAGAAAAAAACCCTGAAACTTTGAACATTCCACAGAGCACCATTAAATCCATTATCAAAAAATTAAGAATATGGCACCACAACCTGCCAAGAGGGCTGCCTACCAAAACTCCCAGACCAGGCAAGGAGGACATTAATCAGAAAGGTGATAAAGAGACCAAAGATAACCCTGAGGGGGCAGTGGAGGTTGGAGTATCTGTCCAGGGGACCATTTTAAGCTGTACACTCCGCAGAGCTGGTCAGAGCTGGCCAGAAAAAAATTAAGCAAACACGTTTGCTGTTCACCAAAAGGCATGTGGGAGACTCCCCAAACAAAAGGTACTCTTGTCAGATGAGACTAAAATTGAGCTTTTTGGCCTTCAAGGGAAATGCTGCATCTGGTGCAAACCCAAGACCTCATCACCCCAAAAACACCATCCATGTTCTTCATCGTCGGGGACTGGCAAACTGGTCTGAATTGAAGGAATGATGGTGGTGCCAGATACAGGGACATTCTTGAGGGGAAACCTGTTTGTCTGCTGGAGATTTGAGACTGGGATGGAGGTTCACCTTCTAGCAGGACAATGACTCTAAGCATACTGCTAAAGCAACACTTATGGTTTAAGGGGAAACATTTAAATGTCTTGGAATGGACTAGTCAAAGCCCAGACCTCAATCCAATTGAGAATCTGTGGCATGACTTAGATTGCTCTACACCAGAGAAACCTATTCAACTTGCTGGAGCAGTTTTGCCTTGAACGGGCAAAAATCTCAGTGGCTATATGTGCCAAGCTTATAGAGACGTACCCCAAGAGACTTTTCGCTGTAATTGCTGCAAAAGGTGACTCTATAAAGTACTGATTTTGGGGGGTGTTGAATAATTATGCACGCTCACATTTTCTGTTTTGTTTTTTTTTGTCTCATTTCTTGTTTGTATCACAATAAAAATATTTTGCATCTTCAAAGTGGTAGGCATGTTGTATAAATCAAATAATACAAACCACCCAAAAAATAATAATTTAATTCCAGTTGGTAATGCAACAAAATAGGAGAAATGCCAAGGGGTGAATACTTTTGCAAGCCATTGAACGCAGGTACATTTAAATAAACGCAGGAAGCTTGTCTGAATGTAGCCTTAATATACTCTAATTGCTACAAGAGAGAACAGAAGCCGAAATGTTGTGAAAATATCTTTTTTTTTTCTATTTTTGGTACATAGTGCATAGAAGAAGGCCACTCCTCTGCTGTTGCTGCACATTACAATGAACTCCAGGAGTGTGGATTAAAGCAGCGAAGTCAGTCTCGTATCTTCTATCTGAGAAACTTCAATAACTGGATGAAAAGTGCACTCATAAGTGAGTTTTTTTTGTTTTTTTGTTTTTTTTTAATGTGTGCAATTGGAAAAGAGTTTATCCAGTTATAATAGATTTAAAAAATGTTAAACTCTATAAAGGTGTAAGTACTAGAGTACTAGAGTGTATGTAGAGCCACAATTATTTTTTGGTTGTGGATAGAGGGAAGGGTTAAAAACCCTAAGTTTATTTTTTGATGGCTGTGTCCCATTAGGTGATGTGTTCTTGGAGATGCAACAGCAAGTGAGGGGAAATCTTTACAAAGTAAGAATGCCACTTAGTTGTCACTGGAACAGGTGCCCCACTGTAAGGTGACAACTGTAACATTTTGGATTTCAATCTCTTCCCATCTCAGTGGCAGTGGTTGCCAAGGCAACTAGACCGAGTAAATCTACCCAGAGGGAAACAAATAAAAACTTGACAGAGGTTCTAATCCTTCCCCATCTCTATCCAAAACTGAAATTAATTAATTTGGTTATACATACACTTTTATATATTAACTTGTAATTATAGTTTGCCTCTACTAATCACAAAGCTTTATAACAAGCACTTAATAAGTGTGTGTGTTATATATGATGCACCGATAGTGGTATCGGTAGTGATGCCGATTCCTTCCCCGATGCTGGAACTTCCGGTCAGAGGGAGATTTTCTCTGACCGGTAGTGCCGCGAGGGAATATGGAGCCGGGAAGCTGGCTCCGTGCTGATTGGCCAGGAAACCGGCTTCCCAGCCAATCACTGTCGAGCCGGCCAACAGATCTGACAATATGGCGACACGACCCTCACCCTGCAGACAAATCATTCCCCTCACATAGATCCTTAGCAGCAGTCATTACTAGAAGTTTATTTTTATCAATTAACAAAATCGAAAGTGGATGAACTAAAGAGAAATCCAAATCAATATTTGGTGTGACCACCCTTTGCCTTCAAAATGGCATCAATTCTTCTAGATACACTTGCACAGTTTTTTGAAGGAACTCGGCAAGTGGGTTCTTCCAAACATCTTGGAGAACTAACCACAGATCTTCTGTAGATGTGGACTGCATCAAATCCTTCTGTCTCCTTCTGTAATCCCAGACAGACTTGATGTTGAGCTCTGGGCTCTGGGCTCTGTGGGGGCCAAACCACCACTTTCAGTGGTGTGTGTGTCAAAGTTTTTCACAATATAGATAGTTATTAATGACATTGGCTGTACGTTTGGGGTCGTTGTCCTGCTGCAGAATAAATATTGGGGCCAATCGCACTAGAGAGATACCGTTCCATCTATCAGTGGACCGAATACTGCATAGAATGCAGGGAATGTGTATAAAGATCAATGACCTTTATTTAAAAAAAAAAAAAATCACCATATGAAATCAGAATATTACAGGGCAGTTGTAATCATCATGTTGGGTATTGTATTGTAGATCTTAAAATCATCTCTGAATTGGTGCTGACACTGTCCTTTTTGAACGGTGGCTACTTTTGTTCTCCAAGGTCCCTGTGTGTGTTGTAAAGTAGCCACCGCTCCAAGCTCACTCCCATGGACTATAATCTCACATTTTAGTGTACTAATTTGTATTGAGATTGTAGTCCATTACGGGAGCGAGCTTGTAGAGGTGGTTACTTTACAATACACACTGAGATCATGGGGAACAAAAGTAGCCACCCTCTAGAAGGAAGGACAGTGTCAGCACCAATTCAGAGATTTGAGGACCTCCAGCTGAGTGATACACAAATAAGGTACATGTTTCCTAATAGTTGAGAGTTACTTGAATGCACCTTTCCTGTTTAGTGTCACTTTAATAAAAATAAAACAGGATAAGGACATGTTTGTATCAAAATGAATTATAGATCTCTCTCTCTCTCTCTCGATATATAGATCTATATATATATCTGTGCAGAAAGCCTAGAATCTTCATTTCTCTGACATTTTAGAAGAACTATAGAAGAGAAAATTAGAGCAGAAATGCAGTGGCTGCCCCTAGTGACCACCTGCCCTGTTGAAAAAAAGGATGTATGGAGATTCTATTAGACACTGCCATGCTCTTTGATAACCCCAGAACATTCTGCAAAACTATTGGTATACGATGTATTAAAGTTTAAAAAACGGCTCTAAAACATCAGTTAAAAACTTGGAAATGGTTAAATAGATGCACATTACACATTTTTGCGTCTTTAGTCTAAACCATTCATACTCTTCATTCTTTAACCCTCCCCGATTTTGAATAAAAAAAGATAATGTGACTTTATGCTTGCAAGTGCCTGAGACAACTAAGGCTGTAACATGCATATGTGCAACCTAAGAGTGGGAAGCTATGTGATGTGACACAGTCAAACTCAAATGAAGTGCAATGTGCTGTCAAATGATCATATTTCCAGGTACTGGATACCAGAGAGATGGATTCAGATATAGAAATGCACCTTCGCAGCATGACATTGCTTACCTGTAGTTCAGTGAGCAGGTAGCTGGTTTGCCAACACAAGCAAAGCCAAATCGAAATATGTAAAGCAGTGTCATGCTCTTTGCTGCAAGTTTCTGAACAGAGAGAACAGAAGATTTTTTTCCCCTGTATGTTTTAACATTTCTGTGATTTTCATTTATTTATTTTTAGATGAGTTTATCGAAAGAGTGCGGGAGAGAAAAAATAGAAACGTCGCAGTATTGGATCTCGGCTGTGGGAAAGGTGGAGATTTGTTAAAGTGGAGGAAAGGCAAAATAGATCACCTTGTCTGTACAGGTAGGTCTATCAACCATAATTAATAAATATATTTTGGCATTTTTGTTTACTGTTCTCTACCCACTACATGTTGCCCTGTGGTCTGTGAATGGCTCGACATGCAGTTAAACCCTATTCTGCAATAAGCCAGACTGGAAGAAATCTTGACGCTTTATTAAAAAAACAGGGTGGGCTGAGACTGGTAAAGAACATTGAAAACATATGATCAGTATATGGACATGTAAATGAAGTAATAGCTCACAAATATTCAGAGAAACAAGCCCGTCCCTACCAGCGATGCTGCCATCAGGGGAATCTGTGTGTTTACTCCAGTAATGCGCTCAGGATGGCAACAGATTCTCTTCTCCACGAAAGTCTAAGTCCCACAATGCACTTGTTCCCTTCTTGGGCTAGAGGTTGCTGGATACCTACCATAGGAAAACAGCCTTTGCTGTAAATGGAGATACAGTGGTACCTCGGTTCACGAACTTAATTCGTTCCACGATTCTGGCTGCGAACCGAATAAAACTGATCATTGGCTGCCGGCTGTGTTCGTACGAAGGTTTTCAGACCAGCTGCTTCGAGGAGCTGATCAAGGGGTGCCGACAGCTGCACCCACTGCAAATTTCGTCCGGTTCTTGAATAACCAGCCGAAATTCACTGTGTATGGGCCACCTTAAAAGAGAACTATGTGGTTAAGGCTTTTCCCCATAGTTCTCCTGAGGGTAATGGGAGGACGCTAGTTCCGCGGTATACTGGGACACCGCAGTATACCGCAAGCTTCTACTCGCGGTACACTAAGACGCTGAAGCGGATCCCGACAATTATGTCTGGATCTGCCCAGCTGCGTGACTGACAGCTGGCTCTGCCTATCTAGAGGCAGAGCCAGCTGTACCCGCCCCCTCCCCGTCCGTTCCGCCAGTCAGCACTGTTGGAGTGGGGAATCCAGCCCCTCCCCTGTCACGGCAGAGAGCTGTGACAGGATCGAGAGGTGAGCGAATGCCGGTATGTGTTCGCTCACTTCCCGATCTACTGAGCCGACCTGTGACAGTCTCATTGTCACAGGTCGGCTAGAACTATGAGGTGAGATAAAAGCACTCAACTCATAGTTCTCCTTTTTAATAGCATGTTCTAGGTTGTGAATATAAACTATGCAGTTACACCCAGTGCTTTCTTAGGATTATTGCTACTTTTCACATTATTGAAGCACAAGCATTATGGCATGAAATGCAGAGTAAACTTTTTTTGTAAATTTTTTTTTTTTTCTTTGACTTTTGTCAGTTTCCTAAAGTCTTTCTCTGGGCAAAAATAATTGCATGTATTTTGTAAGGTTCCCATCATATTTGCCTGTTTGCAATATGCTCCTATTTCCTAGTGTAGGTTGGGTTAAGGGAAGTACATGGCAATCCTGCAACTTCCCTGTGCATTGCTTTTATTACCGCTGACTGACCGCTATTCAGCCTCTATTGAAATGGCCCATCTACCAATTGCTGTCATGATCTTGAAGCTTGGCTGCTTTATTGGTATGCAAATGCTCTGCTCTGCTCTGGTTGGACGTACAACCCCTCCCCTCCATCCGCTCTAAGGAAAATCTTCAGGAAGAAAGGAAAGGAGCAGCACCAATTTTTAGTGGCCACCTGTGTTGGTTATGTGTTTTAGATGAAGCACTGAGATCTTGAGGAATGCTGAATTTAGTTTTACTTAGAAGGACATTATATTAGAATACATCATCATACTGTGTGTATGTATGTATGTTTTCTCGATTTAATCGTTAAACTTTTTGATCGATTAAAATTATTTTGATCGCTAATGAAAACACCCACCTCTCCGCCGGCTTCCGGGAGTCCTGTCGGCGATTCAGTGACGTCACGGACATAGATGTCACCGGACTCCTCCCCCCTTCCCCAAGTTGCTCCGTCGGCTAACGAATGGAAGGGGGGGAGGAGTCCGGTGACGCCACCGGACTCCTCCCCCCTTCGTTAGCCTACGGAGCCACTTGGGCCGGTGAGTTTGCCCAAGAAACTTTCTGCACGAGCGCCAGCCAAGGCATTGGCCTATACACATACAGCAAAGCAATGAAGTCATAAAATGAACTAAACAATTTAAAAAAAAAAAAGTATTTTTAAATTAATATAAGGTTTTGTTAGGTACCATTTGGGCTGCTGGGTAGTAGATGCCTTTCCAATTACTGTTATTGCTATTAAAATTTCCAAATATAATACTGCACTTTCTTTGTGAAAAGCTCCTGTTGTTTTTTTGTAGCTCTCAGGGAATAGTAATTATGTCTAGACCTGCATTAAGTGGCAGTCATTGTTGTGAGGCCAAGTGCTCTTCCAACTCTAATTAACTATAGAAATAGAACTGCTTTAGTTTATAATTAGTCTTGGACAGTTGTTGCTTGTGCCGGGGTTCATTGTATTTTTTTTATTGTCTTGCTACCTTTTCACAGATATAGCAGAAGTTTCTGTCCAGCAGTGTAAACAGCGGTATGTTGACATGAAAGAACGAGCCCGCCATGAGTATATTTTTCAAGCAGAGTTTGTGACTGCAGATTCTACAAAGGTACTTTTACAATTGCTGAGGAGTCAAAAAATTTGCTAATTTCCAGTGTTTTAACCTCGAACAGCTTTAGAAATGGACTTTAAGCATTGCATATAAAAATAATCCCTGTGTGTTGTAAAGTAGCCACCACTCCAAGCTCCCTCCCGTGATGGCCTACAATCTCAATACAAATTAGTAAACTAAACATGAGATTGTTTTTTTTATTTTTTTTTATTATTTTCAAGAAAAAAAATCAAACTATAACATTAAATACAATTATAGTACTTTACAAGTATTTTTACAAAATAAATACATAAATAATTTCAATCCATTCTTTCTTTTGTATTTGATTACTTTCTTCCCAACATCCTAATTTACTTCAGTACTATCTTCTGCGTATAAATAATCCCTCTTTTAGAGAAGGGGGAGGGGGAAAAAAAAGGGAATGGGGAAGGGGAGCAAGCTAGGA